AAAAAAAAAAAATTCTTTTTTTTTTTCCAATTTGCTACAGGGCACATCACCAGGGAGAGAGAGTAAGAAAGTGAGAAAGCAAGCTGCCAGGTCCGAGACTCGAACTGTGGTCAGTGACGTGGGAGTCCAGTGCCCCCAACCACCATGCCACATGCTGATCCTTGTTCTTTTTATTTTTTTAAGGGAGATTTTTGTGTGCGCTTACAGGAGAGACAGAGACAGAGGCGAGAAGTTACCCCCTGGGGGGATGGCCACACCGCATTCCCTTCTTCTTCATTCTTCTCCTGGGATTTTGGGCACACACACACAGATGCAACCAGTGTAAATTTCAAGCTGCTGGGTTCAGGACTTGAACCACCATCAGCCATGTCGGAGTCCAGCAATGTAACCATTATGTCATCTGCTGGTCCCTCCCTAAGCTCTTTCCTCCCCTTCCCAATTCCTGGTTTAATAAGGACTTTTTTTTTTTTTTGAGAGTTTTTGCTATAGGGCGCATGCGCTCGCCAGAAAGACAGAGAGAGAGAGAGATAAAAAATGAGAAATCACCCCCCACGGGGATGGCCACACCACAGTTCCGTCTCCATTCTCCTCTCGGGATCTTGGGCACACATGTACACGTGCCCAGCGTGAGTTTAAGCTACCGGTTCCGGGACTTGAACCACAGTCGGCTACATGGGAGTCCAGTGATACAGCCATTACGCCAACTGCTGGTCCCAATAAGGACTTCTTATAAGGGAAACAAATATATGGAACGCTCATGAATGTGCGTGTCGTCCTTGTGCAGGGCCATGCGAATTTTCTCTCTATCAGTCCAAGTTTAGTGTATGTGCTGCCGGAGCGAGCACCCCACAAGCTCTTATAAAAAGCATATTTTTATAGAAAATGTCAAGCACACACAATGATACACATGATAACACGGCAAAGCCCCGGACTGCTTGGTCACCTTTACGTTTCAGGAACAGTCCAGGAAGCCCACACTCATATTGTATAGTCTCTTGTGGCTCTGTCAGTGTGGCCCACGTGACAGTGACCGCATGCGTTCCAGCAGGTGAATGTGGCACGTGGCAGCTTCAAACTTCAGGTCCTCTAAAGAAGGCCCTGTGTGAAAAGCACCGGGATTAGCACCGTGATATGCTTGCTTTGGCTTCAGTGGCTGTTCTGCCCCCCCCCAATTAAAATATATATGCAATTTTTTTTTTGAGAGAGATTTTCACTGTAGGGCATGTGCACTCGCCAGACAGACAGAGAGAGACATAGAGACAGAAAGCGAGAAATCACCCCCCAGGGGGGATGGTCACGCCGCAATCCCTTCTCCTCCATTCTCCTCTCGGGATCTTGGGCACGCACGCACACGCGCCCGGTGTGAGTTTTAAGCCACCGGGTCCGGGACACGAACCGTGGTCGACTACGTGGGAGTCCAGCGACATAGCCATTACGCTAACTGCTGGTTCCCAATGCAATTTTTTTTTAGATTTTTTGCTATAGGTGCTCCCTGGAGAGACAGAGAAAGTGAGAAATTACCCCCAGAAGGGGGCATGGCTATGCCACAATCCCTTCACTCTCTTGGGATTTTGCACACACACGTGCATAGTATGAATTTCTAGTCTCTTAGTCTGGGACGTGAACTGCGGTCAGCCATGTGGGAGTCCAGCACCTTAACCACTATGCTACCTGCTGGCCCCATTTTGCTCTTTTCTGTTTTTAAAGAATTGTTTAATTCCAGGACCAGCAGTTGGCATAATGGCTATGTTGCAGGACTCCCATGTAGTTGACCGCGGTTCGAGTCCTGGACTTGGTGGCATAAACTCACGCTGGGCGCGTGTACGTGCGTACCCAAGATCTCAGGAGAAGAATGGAGGAGAAGGGATTGTGGCGTGGCCATCCCCCCTGGGGGGTTGAGTTCTCACTTTCTGTCTGTCTCTGACGTTCTGGTGAGCGCACATGCCCTATGGCAAAAACCTCTCAGAAAGAAAGAAAAATAATTATTTAATTCTATTTGTTGTTATTACTATCGTTTTTAAAAGTTTGATCAGAGAGAGATGAGAGAGAAAGGGAAAAGTAAAAAGCAAGCTGCCAGGTCTGGGACTTGAACCATTGTTGGCCATGTGGGAACCCAGCACTTTAACCCCCATGCCTCCTGCCAGCCCCTAGGCCCCATTTTTTTCTTCTAAGAGATTTTTGCTAGGGCCAGCAGGTGGTGGTATGGTTAGAGCACTGGACATTCCCACATGGCTGAACTGGTTCAAGTCCTGGGCCTGGTGGCTTGCTTTGTCACTTTCTTTCTCTCTGTGTGTCTTTCTCTGGTTAACTGAATATGATTGAATGAATAACTAAAATTAAATCTTTAAAAATAAAGAGAGAGAGAGAGATTTGCTATAGGGCACGTGTACTTGCCACAGAGGGAGAGAACCAGAAAACAAGAAATCACTCTCCAGTGGGGATGGCCACACCGTGATCCCCTCCCCTCTATTCTCTTGAGACCTTGGGCACGCACACAAGCAGGCACGCACGCCCGGCATGAGTGCCAAGCCGTCAGGTCCCGGACTCGGACTGCAGACAGCCATGTGGGAGTCCAGTGACGTAATCATTACACCATCTGCTGGTCCTTGCTGGCCTCTTTTTTTTCTTTTAAATATTATTTAACTTTATCGACCTATTTACTTATTTTTATTCGACGAGAGGGACACAGAAAGTGAGAAAGCCAGCCGGCAGATCCAGGACTCAAACCGTAGTCAGCCATGTGGGAGTCCAGTGCCCTTAACCACTATGCCACTTGCTGGCCCCAAGAATGATTCATTTTATTTATCATTATCATATTTTTTAGAAATTTTAAAAAGGAATTCTTTACTTTTTAAATTTATTCATTAATTTATCTTTTTTTCCAAGAGTTATTTTACTTAATTTTATTTGTTCATTCATTTATTTTAATTTGACCAGCAATAGTGCACACAGAAAGATTGAGAGAGAGAGAGAAAGTGAGAAAGCAAGCCACCAGGTCCAGGACTCGAACCATGGTCAGCCATGTGGGAGTGTCCAGGGCTTTAACCACCATGCCACCTGTTGGTCCCCGCATTAATTTATCTTAACTTGACCAGAGAAAGACAGACACACAAAGAGAAGGAAAGCAAGAAACGAACACGCCAGGTGCAGGACTCGAATTGTGGTTATCCATGTGGGAGTGTTCAGCACCTTAACCACCATGCCACCTGCTGGCCCCCATCATTGTTTTTAATTCACCGGTGAGAGAAGTGAGAGAGCAAGCTGGCAAGTGTGGGATTCAATCCATGGTTGGCTATGTGACAGTCTAGCTCCTAAACTACCAAGTCACCTGCTGGCCCCACTTTCTGTCCCGTCTAAATAAGAATTATGTTCTTTTTTGGGTTTCCTTTTTACCTGGGCTGTCAGGGAGCTCCGATGTATCAGAAAATGCTGAGGCACAGTGATACTCTTGACCTTTATTGTTAATGTGTTGATCTCTCTCCTGCCTGCTGTCCTAACTTTTTTCGCCTTGTTGGCAGCTACAGTTTTCCTGGTAAACTGTCTCTCATCCTAGGGAGATTTCCTTGAGCTGGGGTAGGGTACCAGCAGAGGCTGGTGGGATGTGCTTTCTAAGAAGGCAGCGGAGGCTGGCCTCCGCCTCCTTACGGAGCCCAGTGGGATAGAGCAAGGGGAGGTTTGATCAGAAAAGGAGCGCAGGGTCAGAGGCATTTAGACTTCACCCTGGAAGACTGCGTTGTTGAAGCTGTGCCTCTTGGGGGACTGTGAGGGGCTCTCAAAATACACCTGGCAGGTGAGTGAGTTCAAGGTTATGCTAGAAACAAAACCCTGTTACTTCCCCATTCCTGTAGCAGCTCCTCCCCCACCAGTTGGCCCAGGAGCAGTGGGGGCACTGGGCAAGGGGTGGCTGGTGATAGTTCCCCTGAGCGGACACCTACACCTACCGGCCTTGAGCTCACCTGCCTCCTACCTGTGTCCCCCCTGCGCCGCCCCCCCCCCCCGGGAGGCCTCGGGAAACGG